ATCTTCTCCAAGCCCTACCCTGTTCATCTGCCCTCTGCCCAGTCAAGCAGTAGGGTACAGAGAAAAAGCACCTCCTCTCCTCCACCTCCTTTCCCTGGTACAGCTGTCTGAGTCACTGCTCCCACTCTCCCTGACTTGTGACTGTTGAATCCTCCCTGCTGCCCCACCACTACCCACATTTAGCTAGAGGGGCAGAGGATGAGCATGCTGCTCTGTGCTTCTCACCAGCAGGCCATGTTCTTGCAATTTCAACCTCCTGATAAAAAGCTCTACAACACCTATTGTGGGAAGGAGTGGGAATCAATTGAGATTTCCCGAAGCAATTTTACTTAGACTTCACACTGCTCTATTACAAATTCCATTTCATTTATGTTAGCTGCATAATGCAGACCCAGCACCCACCTGAGCCAGCAGGATGCCTCCCAGTGGCAACTCCTCACACCTGCGGCTGACAATGGTGTCACATGAGCTGGCACTCCTGCGGTGACAGAATAGCCAGGGAGGGACTGGGGCCATCAGACAAAATGGCCAGCTGACTGCAGCTCCCCCTCCTTCAGGTTCTCACACACAGCCCAGTGTATCCTTACACAAGGGTAGGGAGGACTAGGACAGGGCCACAGGTCCAGCAAGACAGGACACAGAAAAATGGGCTGGAGGACACTGCCCAAACTACTAAATAGAGTCCTAGGCCTGGGTTCCTGGCCCAGCCCTACCAGCCTCAGAGTGGTCCCTTTCCCTCTAAGCCTCAGTCTTACTGGCAAAGCAGAAATAGAGCTGGATGGATTTAGTTTTATAATCTAAGCAGCTGCTTCAGAACAGAAACAGTACAGGTAGCTCAAAGCCAAGTGTGTTCCCCATAGCAGGCTGCTTGCCCTGTCACCTCAGTGCACTTCCCACATTCCCCGCCCCACCCCAACCTTCCACCTGCTAACAAGGACCCAGCCCCAGCTGGGGGCTAGAGCCCAACAGATAAGTATGGGTTCAGCTGAAAATTAACAAAACAAACGGTCAAGTTGGCTTCACAGCCACCTCATGTGGCATTATGTCCCTCCCCATTTCAGATGAGGAACAGGATGTTGAGGTCATCAAGGTCAGTGGCAAGGACAAGGTATGTGGAAGGCAGCCACCTGAGCTCATCACAGCACACTGAGAGGCTAGATGGGCACTCAGACAGAAAAGTGATCTGTAATAAATCAGAGCCACACTCCAGTTCTGGCTCAAACACCTACTGACTATGGACAGTGGATTAGTCACTTTCCTAATCACTGGAACAAAACACTCAACATTGACAACTTAAAGGAGAGGTCTAGCCGGGGATTTAGCTCAGTGGTTTCGCTGCCTGCTGCGTAAGCGCAAGGACCCGAGTTCCATCCCTGGTACCAAAAAAAAAAAAGAAAGAAAGGGAAGGAGAGGTCTATTTGGCTCACAGTTTCAGTGGGTTCAGTCTATGATTAGCTGACTCCAAGACAGAAACACCATGGTAGAAGGGCCTGCTGGAGGGAAGCTGCTCACTGCCTGGTGGCCAGGAAGCAGAGAGAGAAAGGAAGAGCCAAGGGTGAGAATACACCCTCCCAGGTCACATGCCCAGCGATCCACTTCCAAACATGAGACTTTTGGGGGATATTTTAGATCTAAACCTTAACAGACAACAAAAAGACAGCAGTGTCTCCAAAATGTCTTCAACATTCACTAAAGCCACATAAACACCAGGTTTCAGAGGACAGATGGCATTATCCAAATAGCTCTGACTGATTGCAAGGGTCTCTCCTCCACTCAGAATGTTTGGTTCTCCCACTCTGTGGTGCTCCCAGGGCTCAGTTAGCAGCTAGCTCTGCTATATTTTCCTTTAGAGCTCTGTCTGCTGACTAGGGCCAGAGATTAGTACAAGGATCCAACCACTGGGAAGTGTTTTCAGTGAGGTTGGAAGAAAGCTGGAGCAGCTTCGGGTCACAGATGGGAAGTTGAAAAGCTCTACCTGACCTTCAGCTCATGTCCACGGCTATGGGGCCTTGGCCAGGGCCAGGCTGGCTCTGCAGGAAGAGTCAAGGAGAGACACTGTCCTGCTCTCCAGGAGCTTGATCTATTGAGGGAGCTAGACTCGAGCATTTAAAACAGGAACAGAGAAAATTTAGGGAAGAGCTGCAGGCCCACAGTGGAGGAGCACTACCCTAGACAAGGCCATTGCACATGCAGACTAGGGTGTGTGAAGTCACCTGCCCAAGAGGACAGGGACGTATGTCAGGCTGAGAGCACCCTCCAGTCCCCACCTTCCACTCGGGAGCACACACCAATCCCTCTCTCTACCCACATCCCTACTCCTCTGCAGGAGTAGGGACCTCCCTCTCTTCTTTCTTGGACACAAGGACTCACTATGTTGCCTGAGCTGGCCACAATGGCCTTGAACTCCCAGGCTCATGGATCCTCCCATCTAGCCTCCCAGGTAGCTGGGACTACAGCATGCGCTACTACACGCAGGGTGCACAGGCCTCTGGCTTGCTCAGAGCTCAGCTAGGTCTCAGGACTCATTTGCTGGTCTTACTGCTATTGGCATCATGGACCTCACAGCCAGTTAGGCCAGGCCCATCCACCTGTTTTGCAGACCTCTTTGCCCCTATATGTCCTAGTACAAGAGAAGGACACAAGGTCAGCTCTGCTTTCTAGCTGGCCATTATTACCACTTGGCCTTGACTTCAGTCTGTGATTACCTGTCTGCCTCTCCAGCCAAAGGCACCCTCAGGGGAGGTGACAGATCACAGCCATATTCTCCCTGCCCTCGATGGTACACAGCAAGGAAAAGATATAAACAAATCAGAGTATTTTGTAGAGGACTGCATCCTTGCTTGGTGACTCCTGGGGTTCTCTGGCTGAGAACCCTACCTAGGCCACATACCACAGCTCCAAGTGCAGCTGACACATGGTGGGGGCTGCCCTTCTGTGCTGGCCTCTCTAGCCCCCCTCTCTGCCTGATTGCTCTGCAGAGCCAGACCTCCTGCTATGGACCAAGACTCTGAGCCTTGGCAACTGTTCAGGCTGGGGGACAGAACAGACTCTGCAAGGCCCACAGACCAGGGCGTCCTCACCTTCACAAATCACATGCACTTGCTTCTCTGATGCCAGCCTGCTACAGAACACAAGAGAGGTACCATCACCACACTCAGTATTCCCTACTTCTAGGCAGTCCCAGGTCCTGCTCAGGGAAATGCCACAAGTGTCACAAGTCTTGTGCAGTATCAGGAGCTGGAGGTGCTCATGAGGAAGCCCTGCTCCTAGCTTCAGATCATCCACTGAGCTGCAGTGGAGGCTGGTCACAAGAGGACAGAGCTGCCATCTCACCTTCATCACAGAGCATCCTCAACCCCAGCAAACCAGACTCAAAGCAGCCCTCATTTCTAAGGGGGACATTTGGGCTGAGGACCTGGTATAAGACTGCCCATGGACCTGTCTTCACAGGGACAGAAGCTGCTCTAACCCAATAGTCTGAGAGTTTATTCGGAAAATAATCTACCACAGAGAAGTACAGGAAAGAGAAAAAAACATGTGCTTCGTCTGATGAGAAAAGCAGGATCTCTGCTGAACAGGTCACCAAGTTGGTGACAACAGCAGAAGGGGCCAGGGCTGGGACAAGTGCCCCTCCACCAGTCATTTCCGCAAACCAGGCTAAAACTTCCTAGAGGTGGCTCCTCCCCTGCATGCCCCAAAGCCCTCCCATCCTTCTAGGAAGGCAACAAGACATCTGGGAAAGCCCACTCTCTACCTAGAGGGACCTGGTGACACCACACACATTTGTGGACAAGACAGCTCATGCACATCGGGGTGCACTGTTTCCAGGACCTCAGAAGAGAGCAGACAAAACATTCGTTGTGGCCTTTTGCTGCTACCAGATATGAAAGCTGTGCTGCAAATCTCCATTCAGAATCTTCCTTCAATAGGCAATCACAGCCTTCAAAGCTACAATAAAGGACCACCACCAATTCAAAATGCAATAATTGTAGGACATGGCACTGGGACTTGGTGACGGGCTGGACCACTCCATAAAGCAAAAAATGCACCATGCAGGTAACTTCTGTGCAAATCTGTCCTTGCAGACACTTGGTTGTGCTTTAGCCTGTGGTAATCTTAACCCTCCCTATTTTTAGATTTTCCTTCTTTTGCGGGGGTGGGGGAGGCTGGACTCTGGAGATGGAAATCCACCCTGCAGGTCTGCTGGCACACATCCCTGAGCAAGCTCTCAAGCCCCAAGGAATTCCACCTCCTTCCCTGTAAAGTGGTGCTGCCCAAGATGAGAGTGGGGTGAATGTGGAGAGGTTGCTAGAGATTTGGCACACAGCATGTGCTCCTAGGGTTACCGCTATCGCTGCCACTGTGACATAGCCACAATGTTTACAGGGAGTGAAGTGGTCCCCAGCCAAGCCCCCAGGAAACAGTCATGATGGAAGCAGCAGCCCAAATCAGATCATCATGACACCTTTGTCTCACTGAAGGTATCCCAACTCACTCAGTGTGCTCATCACCCACAGTGAGAAGCCCTTGTGTGGCAGCACACACAGACAGCCCTGAGTGGTCTGTTCTCCTTGAACACCTTCTATCAGAAGAGATAAGGATGGGTGGGGAGGGCGCCATGTGCAATGTTTACCCAGAGCACTCAGCTACCCTAAGTGGCAGACACCGTTATCCTCTCTTCACAGGAGCAAATGGCTGAGGGGCAGGAGGGCAGGCTGCACTCCACAGAGGATCCCCTGTGCATCAGCATAGAGCCTGATGCAAAGTCAACCTGGATAGGCCCTGCACTGGCCACACCACTGGCCTGGAGCCACAGGACACAGGTGAGCATTAAGCGGTTCTTCATGCACAGCCTCAAGAGGAGCATTACACATAACACCATAAAGCACCACTGTTTCCCAGAACTTCAGTAAAAAACAAACGCCAAGAGACAAACAGGGGAATGACATGGTACAAATATATAAATATCCCTTACAAATCAATAAGAAAATCACTAACACCTTAATAGAAAACTGGCCTAAATAAACAGAAATCAACAGAAAAATATAACTCACAATTACACGTGGGGAGAAAATTCAATAAAACTCAGACCTTGCCAACAATGACAAGAAGCAGAATGCCACCAGCTGTGAGGACCGTAGATCATACTAGCCAGAGGACACATCCATGGGTACATTTCTGGAAGCAAAGTGCGGAATACTGGGCAAGCATCCTGAAACCATCAGAGGTTGAACCAGCAACACCCTAAGAAATGACTCGGTGTGAGGTCCAAGAGGCTGCTCACATTCGCAGGAATAATGAAGAATCAGAAGCAACCTACATTTCCACTAAAGAGTTCAATTTTAGTGCATCTCTGCAGGGTAGTAATGTATAGGCACTGAAGATTGTATTTTCAAATATTTAATGATGGATACTCTCTCAATAACATGTTCCATGACAAACACGGGATGCAAACTGGCCCTCTCTGCCCTGCACACCAGCTGTGAGAGAGTAGGGGTAAGTGGAGGAGGAGGAGAGGAAAATATACAAATATGTTTGGGATACTAGCTGTGGGTAGGGAGGTCAAGGTCTTTTCAAATGTTTTCTCTATACTTTTTAGCAGTTTCAACTTTCACACAGACCATGTTACGATTGAGAAAAGAGAGAAGTCCCGCATATCCTGAGTCTGTGAGGTCATAGCAGATGGGCTGTGGTCACAAGGACCTGCCCCTCACTCTGTAGACCGCAACCTGTGGCCTCATAGCCAGGTCACATATCAGCACTGTGGCTGGCTCCAATGGGACTTAGAGGGCACACAAAGGGACCCAATTCCACAGGTGAACAAATAAGAGGTGCCTCTCCCAGGCAGGAAATATCCTGAAGGTACAGCATGGAGAAAACAGAGAACACAAGAGTTTCAAAGAGCCAGAAGACCTGGTGGCAGGCCTGGGGATGCTGAGACAATACAAGGTAAAAGAGCCAGGTGACCCTATACAGGGCCAGGGATATGAAGACACACACCTCAGATATGCCCTTGGTGGGGTCATGCTCCTGTTGGGCACAGGGCATTAACCACCCATTTGCCTGGGAACCCCAGCTCTCACTCCTAAGACCCTAATTTCCAACAGTAAGCATCCAGTCTGCTACAGGTGCTTCTCCTTACACATAGTTGTCTGTGTGTCAGCCAAGCTAAAGCCCACAGACACTGGGGGTTCCCTACAGCTCCAGGCAAAGTAAATCAATGACCTGGACCCCCTGCTGTCCTCTGGGCAGCAGCTGGGGACCTGGCATAAAAGACAGGAGGGAGAGCTGCCCTGGAGAAGCTGTGGCCCAGAGAGGAGAAGCTCATGACCAAGATACCATGCCCTACCAGCTCTCTCTGCAGATGTTTAGGCAGAACCACCTTCTCCCTGGTGGTACAGTGATCCCATGCTGATGTCACAAGTGGCCTGGTGGACCTAGAACACTGGGAGCCATGTCATCTAATGGGGATAGCCTTTTGGAGGTGGTCACCTGGACCCAGCCCACTCCCACTCAACCCTCGCTCCCACTCTCACGTGCCCTGGGTCTGCACTAGAAGACCTTCATCCTTGCAGCCAGCATGCATGACCTCGACCTCCAGGGCTTCTAAACTAGGACCAGGCTCCATGCATAGCCAACAGTGCACCTCTACAGCCTTTGCCAGGCAGAAGTAACACTTGCATATTTTTCCCCTTTGCGATAGACGATTTTTTTGGATACAATTTTAGACTGAAAAAAGACTGAGGAAACAGTAGATTCCCCACCTGTCCATGTCTAGCTTCTGGTGTTACCCTTTTACCCTGAGTGATGCACACACATTATAATGAGCCAACGTGGGGATGTGCAGACTCCCCTCTTTCCATCCTATGAGGCCCCTCTCCAGGATCTGTCCACAACACCACCTTACACTCTGTTGTCTGCCTTGGGTTCTTTCTGGCTGTTATAACTTCTCATCCTCTCCTGTGTTCCTGATGCCCTCGACAGTGGTAAGCCTGAGCTTTCAGGTTCCTGGGAGGAAGGCCGCCACAGCTCGTGCAGTGCTCATCTCACACCCAGGTCACATGTTATCAGGTGTGACTCAGAACCTGACGCTTGCTGCAGTCTCCTGGATAAGGTATACCAGGGGTCTCTCCCTATAAAATTCCTTGTCTCCCTTTCCACTTGACAGCGTGCAGGAAGCCACAGGCACAGCTCACACTGAAGGAAGGTGGGGGGTTGCTCCACTGCCCAAGAAAAGAGATCCACATGGACTATTTGGGACTTTCAGCAGAAGAGGTCAGCCTTGTCTCAATTTTCTGACTTACTCATTCAATCCCACTAGCATGGATGCATGGATCTGTGTTTTGGGTGTTGGTGACATCCCAATACTGCTTTATCTCTGTCCTCTAATGCTCCAGTGCTGGCCTTCCAGAGCTCTTTCAGTTGGCAACTGTGTGCTCTGACAGTCCTTAATCAGTTTGGCTTTGCTTCTGTCACTGCAAGAAGCTCCAGGTCACCCTGTTCATTTCCCACACTAATCTTGGCATCAGCCCTCTCCCAGAAGCCTGGTTCCTTCTACAAAAGTGCTATAAGAGAGACCATGATCTGGGTTCTGGTAGTGTTCCCTGCTACTGTGGGGTCTTGGCTTCCACCCCCTCCAGCTGACGGAGTGAGGAGATGTGCGTGTGCATACCGACCTGTGTAAGGACACGCACTTATAAATACTTCTATATGTACCTACCTGCACCTGCAGGAAGAAAAATGTGAGCTCACAGGATATCTCCAACTCTACCCACAACCTCACAGCTTCCCCACCTTGCCGTGTTACTCCACCAAGAAGAACTCTGGCTTCCACCATCTCCATTCACATACTTAACTGTTCACTTCTAATATCAATGTACACCAGTATTGGATCAGGCACATGCACTGCCAAGGGAGCAACTTTGTCAACCCAAGCACACGCAGTTCTCCCTACCATCGGTCTCAGAGACCACTGTCTCCTTAAGTAGAACACACAGGGTGGCCCTGCCTCAGCCCCACAGTCTCTACAAAACTGTCATCTCTCCTTTGCCTGGGAACCTCTACTCGGGCATGCAGTGATTTATCCATGTATATCCAACTTGCTTAAGAATAGGCTTAAGATCATTTTACTTTTTTTATTGATTTATTTTTTTTTGCGGAGCTAACTAAGCCCAGGGCCTTGCATATGCTAGACCAGTGCTCTACCACCATGCCACATCTCTAGCCTCGGATTATTTTATTTACTCATTTTTCCCTGCCACCTGCCTCCTCCTAGATCATTTAAAAAAATATCAGAGTGATAACATAGTGTCAACAATAGCATAAGAGTAGTAATATCTAAAATTTAGCATTTACCATGGAGCAGGGACCATTCAAACAAGTAGCAACAAATTCTATCTATAGAAAAAGTACCACAGAAAAGTACCACAGAAAAAGTGTTCTAATTCTGTACAGTAAAGACTGGGAAACTGAGGTATGAAAGGATACTCAAGTATACAAGATCACAGGCTTCACGGGGGCTTCAGGACTTTAACAGCACTGGCACTACAAGGGTCACAGGGCCCTTTACCTGAGTCCTCAGTGGTGACATCTTGCACAACACTGGGTGCAACATGACAACCAAGGGCAAGACAGCTGAGACACAGAAAGTCTTGTCACCGGAAAGATGCCTGGTGTGGTCCTTTAGGAGACACCCCCCTCCTCTCCCATCCTAACTCAAGCCTTTCACACACGCCAGGAACCTCCCCGCTTCAAGCATGTCACGTGAGTGGGACCATGCAGGGGCCGCCTTGCTGGGCCTGGCGCCCCTCACACTTATCCAGTGGTCACACTCCCACAGTTTGTCCCTGTCCATTCCTGAGGACTTCCCCAGTGCTATAGCACCTCTCCATTCCCCACTGGAGGACAGCAGTTCTCTCCAGTCCTGGGCTGCTGTGTATAAAGAACTAGGAACAGGCCTGCACAGGTTTTTCTGCAAATATAAATTTTATTTCTCAGGGATAAATGGCTAGCTAAACAACTGCTAAGTCAAAGGTGGCTGCATCTTAGTTTTTAGCAAGCTGCCAGACAACTGTCCAGAGTGGCTGCACCACTTTACATTCCCACCAGCAAAGGACAAGAGACCCAGCTCCCCACATCCTTGCCTGTGTGTGGGCACAATTTTCACCACAGGTGCCTTGCCAGGGCAGCAGTAACACCTTTTAGTGTACTTGTCTCCGACAAATGTCTTTTGCCCATTTTCTCATTAGGGTTTGGTTATGTGTTTTCACTATTCAATTTCTGAAAGTTCTTTACACATTAAAAACAAGAGTCTTTTGTGGGATTCATGGGTTGCAAATGCTTCCTCTAATTTTGTGCCTTATCTTTTCATCTCTTAATGGAGCTTTTCATGAGCAAAATGTCTCTAACTTTGATGAAGCCAAATTTGCCGATTTTCCTATTATGGCTTATGTTCTTGGTGTCAAGTCTAAGAACTCTGCTAGACTGTAGTATATTCTATTATTTCTCAATAAGTTTTATAATTTCAAACTTAAGTTTTTACTTAAGTTTGTGAGTAAATTTCTGTATGAGACATGAGGTTAGACACGGGGTCTTTTTTTGCCCAAAGAGATCCAATTACTCCAACTACTAAATTTACTTAAAAGCCTATCTTTTCCCTACTTATTTTTGCATCTTCCTCAAAACTCAGGTGGCCCAAAACTAGCAACAGGAAAGAAATAAAAAAGAGGAGAGCAGAAATAAGCAAAGTGGAGAACAGAAAAACTGGAGAGAAAATTGGCCCAGCCAAAAGTTGGTTTGCTGAAAAGAGTGATAACATTGCTAAGATCTTTGAGCTAGAATGACTAGACAAAGAACAAACAGAATTGAATCACTGAAATCAAGAATGAAAGAGAAGAGACTATTGTGGACCTTACAGAAGAAAGGATTGCTATGAACAGCTACAAATCAACACTAGATAGCCAAGGTGACATGAACAAATTCCTAAAAACATACAAACTCCCACAACTGACTCAAGAAAAATAGGAAGTTGGACAGACCTCGGCAGCAGGCACAGAGATGGAACAAATAAGGAGCTACTTACCAGCACCTCTGAGGATGTTCTGGCCCCACCTCCTGGCTGTCCTAGAGTTTCCACTCTGCGAACAGCAGACTTTCTCATCCTATAGCCCTGGTGCTTTGCTCCCTTCTCTTCAGTGCAGTGGTGGCGAACTTTCAGCACACACGCCAGGCTGCTTATCACTGAAAGCTCTAAAAGGTCCACGTCCTCTGTTCAGGCTCCAAGCTCACTGGTCATTCCTCTGTTCCTTCCATTTCACTACTGACCTCACCCACTAAATCTCATTTCAGCTCTGGACCGAAATCTCCCATCACACAGACTATTGCTCCCCCAGCCACTAGTAGGTAGGGAGACGGCACAGTGGGGCTTTCTCTGTCTGTGCCCTGACATTTGCGGTTGCACGTCCTCAGCTGCAGGTCTGGTCTGTGAGAAGGGAGTTCACTATGCATTCTGCAGGGTCCTCAGATGCCACCCGCCAGGGGTCTTTCATGTTTGCTTTATATATAGTGTTGTAGTTGAGAGAAGGAACAAGGGGAAGACTGTCTACGTCCCCTTCCCTGCAAACAGAGAAGCTTTTCAGTAAATAGTGTCTGCTGGGTATACAGGTGTGCTGGGTACAGTCCAAACCCCTGCACTGAGACCTGGCCATCTGAAGGGCTCCCTGTGGCCAGGGAAGAAGCCAGCACCTTCAGGTTCCCATATGCAACAGCACCACAGAATCAGCCCTTTGTTCTGGCTAACCTCTGAGGACCAATCCCTGAACCCCCTTCTCAGATCACTTACTTAGAAAAAAGCTCGCCATGTGCATCCTTCCTCTATCCCTTTGAGATGGAAATATCTGTAGCTTCAGGTGTCCTACAGCTAGGAGGATTCCTTTGAAAAGCCATCATCAGGAGGGACAGGGCCCTGCCAACCTAGTCTCACGTACACTGACCTCTTCCCTGCTTTTGTAATTTTCCTGCCTCCAATTGGGCACCGGCTCCCTTGTTCTCTTGTAAGAGGGCCAGGCACCCCTGCACAAATCCACATGGAGCTCAGCTCTTTCCCTACAGTCAGGAGTACCTGAATAAAACCTGCTTTCACCACTGGAACTAACATCCGGCTATGTATCGTCTGACATGCTTCACAAGTGACACAACATATGCTGAATTAACCTAGCTATGGAGCACTTTGAAGGCACAGAATAGAGATAGGCCACTAGATGCTCTCAACCTGCAGTGAGCAGAGGACTCTAGCACGTCAGGGTTACAATAAGTTGCAAAAGTGCCGACCACTACTATGGTGGCCCTCAGTGGGACAGGGCACTGAACTCAAATCCACTCCAGTACCTGTTTGCCCTGCTCCCATGATGTACCCAGCTCTGTTCCAAGGAGGCAGACCTAAGCTGCAGGCCCCCCAGAAAAGGGCAGGGAGAGGATCTCCCCAAACAGCAACAGGGACTGTCTGTTACTAAGAATGAAAAGGACAGGGCTCAGTACACCTAATAGGGCTAAATTATATCCCCCAATGGCATCAATGAACACTCATTCATTCAACAAACATTTAGTGAGCACTGGCACACATGCTTTGTCCACACCAGAATGCCACACAAACCAAAGCCTTTTCCTCTTCTAGATATGGTACTCTGAACCAGAGGACTTGGTCACCAGTGTCCCACACAACTGACAGCTACCTTCACCCATGGAGACAAGGCTTCGGGGAAAGACAGCCCTGGGCTTGGAAAGTTGCTCTCTCCTCTATGCATCCTCTTTATTTATAAAATTGCTTATGCAAAGATATTACCATGCATAATGCATTCAATTATGCAGTGTAAGATGTAGCCTTAATGGGGAACATTCAAGTCAGCCACACCAACACTCTGGAAACTCAAAGAAAGACTGTGCTGCTGACTTTCAAGCGTGCTCGGACCCTTCTCTGTCCATGGGGACGCAAAATAAATATACACTGCTGTGCTCATATTGCCCCCCACTACTTCCCGGTAGGATGAGGTGCCTGGAGCTGATGCCTTCCCAGACTCGGTGGCAGGGCTACATTAGCATGTAAATAGCTGACAGATACAAGGAAATAAAAGCGAGGAAGAGCTCTTTAATTAACTTTAATCCTCTGCAAATCCATGCAGCAATCTGCTCTGATGTCTCAACTCCTCAGGAGGTCCTCTGCTCAGCCAGGACTGAGGGCTGCAATGCATTGGCCAGCTGGGGAGGGACAGATGCAGTGTCACCACGGGCCCCTTGGAATCTGGGGAGGGCCCAGCACAGGGTGCAGGGCTCACTCCCAAGCGGCACACACAGCCTGCAGGACTCTGGAGGTGATGGCACTGCATGGGTGGCCCTGGCCAGGCCCCAGGGAGCCACGAGTTTGGTACTCCACTTGGTCCTGCTCTCCAGCAGCAGCACTGCCTAAGGCAGAAACTGGCCTAGGAGATGGGCCACTGGGTCTGTCCTGGAAGACTGCTGCCCATCACGTCCCATAGGCAGCAGTGCCCTAATGGCTGATGTGGACTCAGAAAGGACCTGAGCATAGCTGGGACCTGACAGGGCAGGGAGCTGGCACTGAGCTACCCAGATGGACACATGCACACTGGTAGCTGAGGAGAGCAATGCAAAGAGGAGCTGCCCAAGGTGGGCAGCCAACATGATAGGCTGCAAAGAAGGGGCTGGAACGACAGAGAGAAGCACATGCTCCTGGAACAGACACCAACACCCTGCCCAAAAGAGTCTACTGCTGGTGCATCTCAACTCTTGAATCCTGCAGCACCTAGGAGAGGTACATCTGCAATCCCCCCTCTTTAACGCTGACACTGAGAATGCATAGGGTATCCCACAGCAATGACTGCAGAGCCAGGACTGAACATGTACACTTGGCCCTGGACATTCTTAAATCACTGAACTGTCCAAAGCCTAACCACACAGGGCCTGACAGGACAAAGAGAAGCCATGAACACACACTGGAATGAGGTGGAGATACTCACGAACATGCTCAAAACAGAACGGTCTTTAGAAACACGAGAGCTGCATCCCAAAGGAGGCCAAGCACATGTCAGATCGTAACTCAAATGGACAACAAGGATGGCTTAGCAGCTTCAAGCAAGAGCAGGGCGCAGAAGTGGAGGAGGGGGCAGAGGCCAGGTCCCAGCATGCACTAAGCCACCAGTCGCCTGGAGCAGATTTCTTCTTCCTTCTGTCCCATGAGGAGGCTTCACAGTGTACACTTGTCCTCCTGCTCAGATTTATTGGTCTCAGGATACAATAAGGCAAACAGAACGGAGGCCTCCTGGTCAGTGACACAGTCTGGCTGCACATGGGCCCAGCAGGAATAGACATCTACTCAGAGGTTCCTGGATAGTAGTGCCGGCCTGGGAGCAGGGAAGGAGTCAGGTGGATACCCACAGGAATCGAGCATCCTTGGCAGGGGAGCTGCTGCTTCCAGCAGCTGCAGTAATATCAAAGGCCATACTGTCCCAACCAGTCCCCTGCGCTGTCTCATGGAGGAATCCACCCTGGAAGGTCTCTGCATCAGGGAGGAACAGGCCCGTATAACGCCAGGCCAGGCAATCACACTGCAGGCTGTGAGATTCACTAGCAATCATCGCTCCCGCCCCAAGGTCATGACCGACAGAAAGGGAAAGCCCCCGTCCCCAGAACACTCTTACACACAGTTCTTAGGCCAGCCTGGCACTTTGCATTTACATGACACTGTCCCTTCTGGGAGCACCCAGGGGCTAAACGAAGCTGGCTTCCACAGGAATAAATCACGCTTCTGTAACCAGCAATATTTCTTTAACCGGAGGTCAATAAAAATCACCAACAAAGGCTAACCAGAGGGTCTAATTTATTTAGAGACTTTCAGAAGGCTGTGGATAAAGTCCTTTATAAAGGCTTATTACAGCGCTGGAGGAAGCCCCAGAAAAGTGACAGTCACTTAGTGGGATTTGCAAGTCCCAGAGCAAAGTGAAAACTTTAACAGGACCCCTAGAAGGACAGGGAGGGGAGAATGAAATAGGAGCCGATTTGCCACCTAAGGAGCCAACCTTCGCTGAGGCCAACCTGGGGCCTATCCCAGGGAGATCCAAACTATGTCCAGGAAGACAACCACCAAGGACTGCCCACAGCATGAGCCTACACAGTGTAGTAACTAAGTCCAAAGTTCTCTGGGGGACCCCAAAGGAGGCCAAATCATTATGGGTAGAAAAGGTGGCCTCACCCACACCACTGGAACAGACCAGGCAGGAAACTTGCCTTTCATACCATAAGGACGCCAGACTACTGGTCTTACCTGTAGAGCCAGTAGCTCAAGGTAGGAAACCCATGTCCTCCTCCCCCTCCCAGCAAAGGTCCCCAGTGTACCCACTTACCTCGCCAGACATGCTCTGGCTCTCACTGCACACCTCCCTGACCAGGCATGGAGGGCTGTGAGGGAGAAATACTGTAAACCTATGGACACTTCTGGTCTAAAGGGGCTGAAAAAGCTTTAGATGAGAAGTGCAGGAAATGTCACATTTCCCTCATATCTTTCCAGAAACTGAGCCCTATACAGAGAGTATCTATATGGGCTTCTGGAACGCCCTCCAGGGCCAACAGCCCCTATACAGGCAGCTGGCACACCTGAGTGATGCTAGACCCTGCCTGGCACCTGTCTCATGCTAAGCTCATACTCCATAAAAAGTCATGTTGCAGCCAGGTGTGATAATGCCAGCACTTGGGAAGTTGAGACAGGAGGATCACAAGTTCAGGGTTGGCCTAGGCTACATAGCACTGTCCAAAAAAAAAAGCCACATTTTGATGTTGGGCAAAGAAGGAGTAACTGCCACTGGCCTGAAACCACAGACCCAATATCCCACTTCCAGCCAAAGAAGCAGGGGCCCTTGATCTGAGGTCACTCCTCACAGATTCGATCAGCACCTTTAGCCCCTGGATGCACTCACGTAAAGGAGCCCTGACTGAAGAAGCAGCAGCAGCTTTCCCAGCCCCTGAGCTGCTGGGAGCTCAACTGCACACAGCAGGCTGCTTAACTCACTGCCTCCCCTGCCTACATAGTGCCCCAGGAGCCCCAGGTGGGTACACCTGACTCTCAAATACAGGAGATGGAGCCTCAGTAGACAAGCAGGCCCCTAGGAAAAGCCTGCTCCAAAGAGACCTTCCAGGCTAAGCCTCTGGCTTTCTGTCCTGCTCCCCATCCTGTTCAGAAGCCTCCAGTCCACGTTACCCACTACCCTCAAGTCCTCAGGTTCTATAGGCACATGGCACGTCCAAGTCCTGCCTAGTTCCCCTGACCAAAAGCAAGCGACAAGCCTTCAGGACAGAGCCCCATCATCAGGCAGAGACAGACAACCATGTGGGCCACAGGCACAGTCCTAAGTATGTGACACGGTGTCTGGCAGGACTTGTACCCTTCCTCCCTAATGCTTTACTGGGGGCAGTCTGGGTCTCCATGGGCAAAGTTAACCAAAAGAACATCAACTACAAGCTGCAACCCTGCTTTTGACTGTTTTCCACTTGGTGATGGATGATATTTAATACTCTCCAGTCCGAGTACTCTGGGTCTGTAAATACTGATCCTGTTTTATTGCTATTTAATCACTATTACGATGCCAAGGGCCAGTCCTCCTCCACTGGGCTTAATGTTCCATGAGGGTCTAGAGGGAAAAGCAGCCAAAATGCATAAAATGGGATTTCCAAGAGGAGAGTACACACACATGCACAATGCACACACATGTGCATGAACACTGACATATACACTCACACACACACATACTCATACACACATGCTCTCCAAGGACACATGAGGGGCAGTGAGGCAGAAGAGGGCACTCAGTAGGGAGGAAAGAGCCAATACCAGAGTCAAATGCACCTGAGCAGGAGCCCTGCCCATTCATCAGACTGTAGGTTCCTCCCTCTGAAAGCAGGATTTTGCAAATTCTAGTTGTATTTTCAAAATGATTATTAAGCAGGATTATTATCACAATGTTAATGAAAATGAGTTAATTTCATGAATGCCAACATCATAGTTCTTTTGGTTGGGGTCTCATGGCTAAACGTCTCTGCCAACAGATTGTCCCTGGAAATGGGAGGCCTAAGCCATCCTAACAAAAGCCACGATGACTAGAAGCCAATGATGGTCCAGTCAGCAGCCCTGGAGCAGCCCCTCATCCTCCTGGGGAGAGGGCACATGGGTGGGCAGACAGAAGCTCTGAGACAGGCCAGAGCCTTGTAGACCTTCTAAACCTAAGGTCAGGGATGTCCCAAGAGTGTGTGAGTGGGACCTGCACATGTGGTAAGCACTGGGACTCTCCTGACTGTGGGTATGTGGCTCTTACCAAATTGTGGGCAAAAGGACCTCACAGGATTTTGGGGAGCCAGTGATACTGGCAAGGCAATGGGGCCATGAAGGACAGCCGTCCAGGGACACAAGTGCT